TCACAAAGTCGGGCTGCTTTCCTATTCTTATCGGTTACATCTTCAACTAAGTATATATAGTTTTATTTATCGATACTAGATGATGTAATTTATAATTACCAGACTAAACTATTCGTGCAAAATTGAAATTGAAATTCGAATCATTTTCAACATTTAAAATAAATATTTTTTGAAATTTAAAAATCAAAATTACGTAATTTTTATTTGTCTTCCCCAAAATCTAATAAGTTCTTAACACTGCCAACAAAAGCCAAATGTTTTTTGAGTCATTCTAATCAGACGATCCGTTATCTCAATAACTGCTACTTTTTGCAAATTTTGTTCGTTGTCTCCAAAACGGCTGCATCTGTCTTTGTCAAAAACTAATCAACCACCCCATCAGTAGGAATCGAATTTTTTTAAAATAATTCAAATCAGTTGATCCGTGCGCCCGAAATCGTGGACGAAAAATTGTATCCGTACAAAACATATACTACACCCAGTGGTGTTGTGCTAATATCTTTTTTACCGGAACGCTGAAATTAAAAACCCAGTTTAAAAAATAATTCAAAAATCGGTTCTCTCAAGTTTTTACATAATTATCTGGATTAAATAATTTTTGTGGTGAGCCACTCATTGGCGCTTTTCCTAGTAAGCGCTAGATTTCCAATTAATATTTTATTTCTTTGTTTATTTAAAATAATATTCATATTACTGAATCCGCGCTCACACCTCTGCCGAACTGCAAGGTACAATATTTTTTTAGGAATTTACTTAGCCTCCAGTATCAAAATAATCTTCTAACGCATTGAGAGATCGCATCAGTACTGTTGAATTAAATCTGGTGCATAATGGCTCAATTTCATTTTTTCCATAACCGATTTCTATTTCTGCTGGCTACTCCGTTGAATCTAGTTCTTGAAATTCACTTATCAAATCATTTTCTGCGTGAAGCGTTTTTTTTTATTTAACTTCCAGTAGGGCAAGTTATAGTAATCGCAAAAAAATCGAAAATGAGCATTTTTATATATCTTTATGTTTCAAAACCTTCAGAACATTTTGGCATATCTTAAAAAAAATGGATGTGTGTGTATGTACGTGTATGTGTGTGTGTGGATACAAATTTTCGTCGACGATTTCGGGAACACGGATGAAGCGATTTGAATAATTAAAAAAATATTCGATTTATATTGATAAGGAGACGTGCTGATTAGTTTTTGGCAAAGGTATGTCTAGCCGTTCCAAAGATATGGGGCAAGATTCGGAGACCTAGTAAAAAAAGTAAAAAAAGGCGGTCAAAAATCATTAGACATATGCACATCAAATTATCAGATATTTTATAGAGATTTTAACAATAAGTATAAATTTTGTTTACATTCCTATGGGTTCCAATGTTTATTTGTTAGACGGCGACGCGGCGCTTACGCGCTTCGATATTTCTTCTCTATGCAGTTAAAGCAGTACGATTGCTTTGAAAAAAGTTCAGAATTTCCAAAATATTTCAAAATAAATTTTTCTTCAAAATGTCTTTTTTTTTCAAGACAAAGTAAATTTTTGTCAAAAATTTATAGTTTCTCAAAAATGTTAATCCTTAAAAAAAGAAAAAAAATTTGGTACGGGAAGTTCCAGCAATTTGCCTTAAGGCACGATGCCATAAACACCATTAGTTTAATTTTTTTTGCCGGTACGTCATTCTGGCTAATCATTTTTAGGCCAGAACGCCAAAGCTCATTACGACTCGCAACACCACTCTACATACGGGATATAGAGCTATATCTAGAAAGAGATATAGAGCCGAAGAATTACTCCAGATATTGTTGTAAAAGTGATGATGGCAACTGAAGCTGCGTGGAACATAATAGACACATTTGCTACCGAAGTGCTAACAGACTTGCGATTTTCGGAAAGAAGAAGAGCGAATGGGAATAATCTTTCGATAAGTATAATTTCAGAGGAAGAATTATAGCATTCTAGATCCTCCCCCCGGAAGAAGCGCCTAACGGCGGTTTCAGTGGGAACCACGGTTCCAAATCTGCAGAGGCAAGTATTGTACCCAGGCGTTATTGAGTCCGACATACCCATACAAAAAACCAGTCTATAAAGGGGATATTTTAGTGTAGAGCGATGAATTTTAGGTCATTTTTAAAGTGTCGTAAAAGAAAGCAATAAATGTTTTTACTATCCATTTTTTTACCACTTGTTTATTAATATTATTAAAATACAAAACAAAAATTAAAAAATAAAAAAGTTGGAAATTGTAAAAACTGGCAGCTGATGAAGTGGGTGGTCTCAAAAAAATTGGCACCTCAGTCTTGACATGATTTCATCCTTCCTAGCCATCGGAAATGCAAAAAATAAAAAGATTATTATTAATCGACAATGTTGTCGCAATCGGCTGAACTAGCGATGAGTAAAAAAAATTTTTTTTCACAAATTGGCGACTGTTTGAAAAAAAAAGGTTTTTTTTACTGTTTTTTTGAGTTTCTCGAATTTTTTAAAAATAGTAAAAATAGGAATTTCGGGATGATTCTAGTTCAGACTATAGATAGATCTATAAACAAGACTCTCTGAAAATAAATTGGTCGAGTAGAACTCCAAAAATCGTGACAAGAGTACTGAATAAGTAAGTTCTGAGAAAAACGCATTTAAAGTTTTGCGTGAAGCCAAACCAGTATGGAGACCGAGTCAGTAAAATGCCTATATCTCCGAAAATAATTCAAATTTACAAAAACCTTCTCGTACTCATATTCTTAGATAGTTAAACTTTGAAAATATGAAATAAAAAAATCGAAATCCATTTCCTTTGCTATACAAATGGACTCATCCATTCAATATAAGATATACCAAATTGTTCAGAAACCTCTGAAACGTAAAGATATGCATAAAGTTTTGATTTTTTGACGATTGCTATAACCAAATATTTATACCCTTCTTTTATCTATGACTATAACTTACCCTACGGGAAGTTAATATAATCGGAATACGATTAAGACAATGATTCAACTTGAGCAACCTTACCCTCAACCCTACCTTCGCAACTGTTTACATACAATATGTCAACATTGATGAAATTTTGACAGAACTTATTTTTAGTGGGGTGCAATAAAGATATTTTGAACATGTCCTCTTCTAATTTTTGTAATACGTCACAATTAACACTTACATGTATCTGCTATAATATATTCAAAATTTTATTTACTTACGATAATTACGAAATTTATATAATAAACTCATAATTATCACACTATCTAAGGAATAAGATACAATCGCGAATAAGAAAATATTTAAATATTATGATAAAAAAAATAGTTGATAGGCTGCATATATAAGTTTTAAATATTATGTAAAATATCAGGATTTGTTCACAGTTAGGATACCGCGTCATATCCTATACTTTTATGACATTGAATATTTATTACATGAATAATATTATTTATTGAAATTATTTATCAATTAATGCGTATAATTTATCACTATTTAAGCAAAATAACTACATATACGTAAATATATATTTATAATAACAAATAGGAATTATAAACCGGATGATTTATAGACGTAATTTAGGTAAAAGCGGTTTGTAAAAGTAGTTTGTACTAAGTTACATCTGTTCATAATTATTTTGCTTAAAATCAGTATTTTTGTCATAAATAGCACTTTTAATATTTGAATTGCACTCACCATATTCTAAATTCCTGCAACTTTTTCTTGCGAATTTTTCGTAAAATGAAAACACTTTGTAAACACTACATACGCAACAGACTCATATAATATGTAAATATAAATATATATAAGTATGCATGAAAAGTATTATGAAACGAGGGTCATGATGCTTAAATTACTAAAAAAATTACAACATTTCACATAATTTTCAGAATAAATCCTTCAAATATTTTTACTTTGACTTAAACTGCGTTTCAGATACTAGTGCCACCTTTTCCCTCAAAGAATAAATGTTGAACTATTCTTTCTTTATATTGTTGGTATACATACTTTTTTCAAACTGTCATTGTGGTAACTCTAACATCTAGCTAGACATTAGGTGGTAACAGATTTGTTGAGAGATTATGTGGTTTTGTTTAATTAAATTTATTAATTTATATTACGCTGACACTACTAGACAAACCTAGTATCGAAAGGTTCGTAACAAATATTATTTAATTAAAGTGCAAAACAAGTGGTTATATAAATATATCTTTGAAAAAAATGATACTAAAAGTTTAGTCATCTTGTCAATAAAAATCGCGGGCCGTGTCAAAACATTGAATTATGTATCCAGACAATGTCATTTTTGTTATTGATCATCAATAATTTATTTCAATGCTAAGTATATTATTTTTTATAAAATCATATTTGCATTTCGAAATTTCACATCATACAAACAAACCAGGTCTCGAAATAACTATAGCTTTTAATGTTTCAAATAAATTTAAAAAAAAATTAAATTTTCTTATAAAAATTATTCCCAACGATTTTAACAATTTTGGTTAATTTTAAAAAACATTAGAATAAAGTATGTTTGAAAATGTGATGGCCTTAAAATTAATCTCATAAAATTAGTGCTAACACACTTCGGTCAAAATATTTTATCACTGTTTCTCCAACTAACAATATTTAAATAAAAATATTACTGATCACTTTATTTCATTTCCTAATATTGCTCTTTATGCTTAGTAAAGTTGTTATGTTATGTTAGAATTTCAATTGGCATATTGATTATCAAATATTAGTAGACAATAATGAAGAATTCAGATCTTAATCCAAAATGAGTAAAACCACAAAATAAATATTTAATCAACAGTTTCAGAATGTTTATTAGGCTTTTGTTTTTACTGAAAAAATATCACTACAAATTAATTATATACATATAGATTATTGCACTATCGGATAATACATTATATATATAAATATATATATATATATATATATATATATAATACTTAATAATTAATACTAATTAACTTTGTAAATAAACTAATAATAAGTACTCCTATTTTATAAATATTTACACCAATCATCTGCAATATTTTTGTGCTAATAAATTTAGCAACTGCCGAGTAATAAAATAAAGTTTTTGTTTTATCACATATTATTTAAGGCTGTCATTTCAAGTTTTGATAAACTATCAGTCATGCTTTCATGCTCAGCGGACACCCTTACAGCCTGTGCTCGGTCTAAGTGTTCTAAAATTCCTAAATAATATGAAGAAAGATTAATCTTAGAACATTATGCATGAGCCAAGAGATATTTGCAGAAATAAAACTAAAAGTTCAAACTGTACCTGATAAATCTCCAGAATTAAGTTGAACTAATTGTTGACTGTCCATATCCAACATACTGCTAGTAGGACCACCTAATGAGGAAAATAAAATATTTAATATTAGATATTTAAATCATTACAATATTTTATGTTATGTTTACATGTTCATCAAAAGCACTTTACATTTATTATTATACTTAATATGCATTTTATGGTATTTTTAACACTAAAGATTATCTCCAAATTAATAAACATTGTACAGTTTGAAAATTGATGTAGGAAGACTTGAGTGTGGAAATGCCTATGTCATATTTATTATTTAGCTAATGAAGAACGCTTTCAAATTTGAAAATCAATAAGCAGCAATTTCAGTAAATTAACTATTTGACAAAAAATATAAACATCATTTGCTCAATTACAACTCAGAAATGTTGATGCAAAAACACCATGTTTGAGAAAATCCTTTCAAAAAGCTAAATTCATAAACCAATTAATCAATTCAACTATTTATGATCACTTTAACTGTTTTTTTAATTACATTGATATTCATTGATTTATAAAAATAATTGAAGATATTCATTGATTTATAAAAACAAAGTAATTTTCAAAACAATCCAACTATATTTGAATTGTCGATTTGTTTCAAATGCAACTTAATATATTTATAAGATTTTATCTTATAATTATTCATGAATAGAATTAAATTAGAAGCAAATAAATAAAGCCCAGGTATATTTGTTTAGATCATGTGAAATCAAAATATTTTTATTATTTGAAACTTACCTTGCATTGCATTCTGTGGATCTATATTCATAACTCGATTTAAATCATTCATTACAGGTAGTCCTGCATTCCAATCGATGGGTTGCTGACTCTGAAAATTGTTCATCTGCTCGTAATGGGGCAAATTATACTGAGATGCTTGATCTCCCCCCAAAGGTGAAGGATTGTTGTAAGGATGGGGCATGTTGAAAGGCTGCGGTGATGGACTGTCCTGGGCGCACCTATACGATCCACCAGTAAACATATACGGCAACGGTGAGGCATCTGTAAACAAATTATGTATTTTAATGATTTCATTCAAAATCCGGAGTTTTGCTTAAATAACTTTATTCTGTTAATTCAACGTTTTCAAAGAAATATAAATCAGCTGGAGGAATATCAACTAACCAGTTAACTGTGATTGACGAGACACTGGTCATAGAGAAGTAAGTGCCAATTTACAACTTATTTGGATTATTTTGAGCTTAGCCGGTATAAAATAAATGGTTGTTTGTAGCATTATATTTTAAAACGTTATTTTACCTCGATTTTGATGAACAAAACGGTGCGCACATTTCCATAAGCTCGCCACAGTTAACTGGTTAAGTCTCCAACAGATTCTACTATCCGTCAACCTTCGATTCGTCAATGAATGGTAATCAAACTATAGAAAAAACTCTAAATCCTAGGCGTAAGTGGCATTTTGCTCTATTTTGATATATGTGTAAATAATTGACTGAATCAATAAGAAAGCTAAAGTAAGAACTATTGCTGATTATTCAATTTGGAGAAATGTTTCAAACATGTTCATTATTTTCGGCAAATGTTTTGTTAGATATTATTGGGAAACAAACATACGCCTAATATATACACGGAATAGCGCCTTGATTCAAGCTTTAAAAAAATTTAACTTATTTAATTTCAATTATTTTTAAAATTTTGTCTTTCCCTCTTATATGATTCTCTGCGACCTGATATGTTTGATCAGGTAATTATATATAATATATAAGCTGTACATTGTATCTGCTTCTTGATAATTTTACATTGAAGATAACATATAAGATTTTCATAATGTTTGTGATTTTTATTTGAGACGTTGCCTCGAAGATTTTATACATACATACGTATATAAATATTTGTGCAATATATTTTGGATATATAAACTGAGCTCACTTATGAGCGCTTTATTACAACAATTAAAAGCATATTTTACGACACTTTCAGTGATATTATATGATATAGTTCGTACGCTATATTGTGCCCAATTATTATCAATATAAATTCTTAAAACTGTATTTAAAGTATCCTGAAGCTATTGACCACTATCATTGTTATTTACTATAAAATTTATATTTATAAAAGAACCTGCATATCAAGTTTCTATATAAAATTATATACATACCTCTTGGTTCAGTTTTAACAAGAGATTGATCAAACTGATTCATTTGATTTGCTTGAGGCGATGATGCCAGAGGAATATTTAACTTGTAATCTGTATGTCCCGCAGCATTACCTTAAAATAATAACAACTATTAATTCATACAATCATTTGATATAAAAGTTAAACACATAAATCAAAACATAATTCAAGACAAAGCGCAAATGTAAAATTTCAAACGTATAAGCGAGGAATCTATACATATTATCTACACATTTAACATATTAATAATATCATGCTATAAAAAAGGTATTGTATTTTTGATCGTAAACAAATTGCAGTTCATGAAAACACATTTTTAATTAAAATTCGCCACAGAAACACATACTAATAGTTATTATACTGTCAGAAACAGTCAACAACTTCATGCAAAAAAAACATTTTCGTTTTTTTTTACAAAAATAAGTAAACAACGAGATCATTGATTATTAATTTTGCTTTAATATTTAAAAAAATCGTTTTTATATTCAAAACAATAATTTTTCAATATTTCAAACAATACTATAAAATATATCAGAAACTTTATCGATTAACTCGCCGTTGCTTGATCTTTCTAATACATGCCCCAAATGAAATAATATGTGATAAATTAGAATTACATGCAAAATTTGAGTGTCTGTTGATTAAACCCTTGCTCCAAATTATTTACCTTAGACTAAACATGCAAACTCATGCAAACAATGAAGATGAATGATGAAATAAATTCATACATAAAGCATAAAATTTACATTACGTCATAAACAAAAAGGTTACTTACAGCATGAATACTTACTGACAACAGGTTTAATTTGTTTAAAACCTTAAGATAAGATCGAGAGAAAAAAATTGAAATTAAACTAAATGAAAAAATCTTTTTGTACAGTTTGTTTAATGTGTTCATGGCACACAGTAGTACAGTTTCATATAATAATATTATAAAACAATTATGTATACCTAAAGTTAATTAAGTTCTTTTTCAATATACATATTTAACTTAGTTTGACACAATGGTCTACAATTTATTAACAATCCGAAAACAACTAATAAAACTTAATTAGTAGTCTATACCATGTACTAAAATAACATGAGTTCTATAAAATCTAGTAGAAATTAATTAAAAGTATATCCTAAAATGCATAAGCACAAAGAACCAGTGATTCACTAATTCTCCCTTGACAAATTTTGAAACTATTTAAATATGTAGTATATAAAATGTATAATTTTATTTCCAATCGATAAATAACAAATATCAAAAACCAGAGAACAAAACGGAACATAACAGTTATCAGGTAACATAATTTCAATTATATATCTGAACAATTTTAATAAAATTCTTTACATAATAACATATTTCAACCATTCTCTCGAATCATTTAACAATATATATTACTCTTACATTTGTAAAATAATTATATTTTCCATAATGCAATAAATCATAAGAAAGCTTTTTTCTGCTTTAAATGTAGCATTAGAGTAATTAGGCTAATCAAATATTCCCTTATACTTTTATGATATGATTGATTTCAAAGCAACTTTGTTACTCGTAACAGTATAACATTTTTATTGGTACCTTGTAAGGTACTAATTGGTGTGCATAATTTGCTAATACATATTGGCACCATCTTTATGCAAGCTATTTAGTATTTTTCTTTTTCCTTGACACATGCTTTTAGAAAGCTTGATTTTTTAATAAACTGCATATACATTTAGCAAAGTATCTGTGGTAATAAATTTCATTGCTTGCTTTTGTTAACCTGTCCATACGAGTGATGAATGGTATGTAAATGCATGTTATTTTTATGATTGCAATGAATTTATATGGCAATAATAAAATGAAAATATAAATTACATAGGTTAAAATGCGTTTTTATAATTTATCACTTCCCTAGAAAAATTTAACCGATAAATAATGAAAAATGTTAAGTGTTAATATGTAAATAAGACGTTATGATATGAGTTTTTTTATATTCATCCAACACCGTGATTCACCGTCACCTTGACATTGTAACCCTGTTTGATTTGCTGATAAAAAAAGTAAAAGTTGAAAATGACTTACTCGTAGAAGGATTTTGACCCTGCAGTTGCCATAAAAGATGTTTTGGATCCCCGTCAATTTTTTGCCGTTTTCGTTTTAATTCATGCGGGTCTAGAAACATAAATAATATAGTTATGTGTTTTTCGTAACCCGTATCAGTTTTAGTTATATAAATATTTAAGTACAAAAATTATATGCCTGCTGGTTTAATTCATTAGCAGCGTATATGCTAATTGAGTTCACCAATAACTATTATCTAAAATGTATTATAAAAACAGACCTAATTATTGGTTCCATCACTTGCATTATTTAAGCACACATAACATTCTAGTATGCTACAAAATCTAAATCTCAATACAAATTATTCTACATTAATCTACAATATTTATGGCTGTCACATTATTAGCAGATCCAAAGCTAATTAACTTTCCGCCACCAATAGGGGCGTAAAAACAAGAAGTTTCATCAAACTCGCTAGTTGTCGCATGCGGAGCAAGATCTGTATACAGAGCGTAATGTTCCGCTTCTGTTATATCCAAATGCTGATCTAAATCGTTAAGTATCTGCTCTCCATATAACTGTTTGACACTTCCAGCATCAATTTTTACGAGACCTATGCTACCAAACTCGGAAGGTGCAAGGCTATCCTTAACTTTCGGCGCAACATTAAGAGAGTGAGTGCTTCCTCCACCAATATCACCCTTTAATGGGATATGAATCATGTCCGGCTTATCTTTGAAATCAGGTCGTTTGCCCGAAGTGCTACTGACACTTCTACCTACTGGCTTAGATTTTTTAGCAAATCGAGCAGGTTGCTTTTTGGCAGGTGGAGTAGCGGTATCACTAGTCATGCGTAAACTGTGGACAGATCCAGCTCCGATGGGTGTTGCTTCTCCTAAACTGGGTTCTCGAGACGCTGGGCTACTGTATGATTTATCACCTTTCTTTGGTTTTCTCGAGAATAGTTTACGAAGAAAATTTCTTTTTTTCGGTCGCGGCAATGTTTCTGCATTAACAGTTTGTGGAACTTCATCTGGCGATGAATCAATAACAATAATTTGAGATTGAGGACGGGATTGAGGAAGACTTGGAGTAGATTCATTTAATACTGGTTCTTCAACAGACTTATTGTTTTGGCTCTGTAATTTAAGTGATAGATCCGGAGTAGCTGGTGTTTTCTTAACTCTCTTGGGCGGAAGTGGAGGTAGTTTTTCTTCGCCTCCATTTTCTCTTTTACCGTTTAAAATTGGTGATGCTTTCTTTGGTGGCACCGGTGGTTTTGGGCCGATTGGAGGTGCACTAATTTGAATAACTGGCGTAACTATTGGGGTTGCCATCAACTCTTCTAAAGTAGTTACAGACATTTCTTGAGGCGGTAGCGATAGAGCTAAAGGATTCTTGAAAGCCATTTGAAGACTTGTGTATGTGGCACTGTCATCAAAATCAACGTCCATTGGACCCGAATTTGTTTCGATTTCGTTCGTTTTCGCTTCATTTTGCAAAACTATCTGATGGGCCTGAGTATCTAAATAAATTTCATCTAATTCCGCAACTTGTTCCAGAAGTTCTTGCAACGATTTATCTCGATTATCAACGACTTTTTCTGGTTCTTCGATATTATTTTGCTGAGCGTTGTCAACAACATCTTCACTGATGACTACAACTTCACTATCAGAATTATTTACGATGGATTCTGCGTGCCCGTTCGTAAGATTTGAAGGGGTCACGAGACGACGTAACGCCTCGAGGCGCTTTGGTACATACTTAGGGTTTGTCCAAAATGATGACCTACCTGAATCTAGCGGAAGTAACTGGAATTTCAATGGTGTACTCGTTGCTGAATCTGATGGTCTTCGAAGCTGAATTTGAGCCTGCAATATTATAGATAGTTATTTAGTTTCTCAATTTAACTTTTAAAATATCTCAATTTTTATGAGCATGCTCTTAGTTTTTGTATATAAAGTCCAAGAATCATAAAGTGCATAATTACTTTTTACTCTGATAATTTAGTAAGTTTGCTTAAGCGCATACGATTGTACATATGAATAAAATAGAGGAGTGTAAGTAAATATATATATATATATATATATATATATATATATATAATATATATATATATATACATTTATATATATATATATATATATATTGTTATTATTATTATTATTATTTACATTCACTGGTCGATCGACTTCCAATGTTCGATACTTTGGCGTCCTAAATGTAATAGCAACTTGTTTATGAACATCGGTATGCTGAAAGTCAGCAAATCCTTCCCATACCAATTGACCATCTCGTTCTTCAAATAGTCTTACTTGAATATCTTCTTTGGCAACCTGTATTAAATATGTATGAGAATATTCAAATGAAAAATAAGAAATTTAATTTGGTCGTAAACACACCTTTTCACACAAAAGAATTATTCTTTGACCGCCAGCAACAGAAGCAGTACAGTCGCTCATTGTGCATATTACTAAGTCAGACATTGCTTTCTTATCGTAGATCGGATTTGATACTACAACTCGGAGCGGTGTGAATTTACCTGGTGTATCTTCTAAGAAGACTTGGAAGCACAAACGAACTGCATTCAAATCAATGTTTGAAGGCTGAGATCTATGAGCAAATCCATCTGTAACAAATTGAAATTTAATGATAGTCGAGCAGAAAATTGCAAGTAATATAAATAAGTATATGTATTAATATTTTAGTACATTATGTGATGGTACGTACTTCCGAAAGGATCAACTTTAATAAGTTCGCGGGCTTTCAAAGCTTCTTCGATATCCTTCTTCTTAACGCATTGAATTCCAAGATTACTAAACGTTACAGACATTGTGTCTGTGTTAACTTGCATTGTGCAGACACCTTTCTTGCAACCTTCTTTACCAACTAAGTTATGAGGATGAGCCCTGAAATTAGATTTGTCAATAGTAAAAAAATAGACGAACTTGAAATATTCTAAACATTAGAAATATACATTACCTATATGGTTTATCCTTTGTTACGCAAGATACTACGACAAAAGCTCTTCCTTTATAACCGACAATTTGTATTGACGGAAACGTTTTATTTTCTGGTGTACTATTTTCACCAGGAATTGAACCTGCTGATCGTCCCTCACACTCATATCGAAACCTGTTGGTAAACACCATATAGAAAATTAAAACAAAAAACAATTTTGTATTTAGTATAGGAAAGGTCTAAATTAAACTAATAGTTTACTGTCCCACAATACAAAATTTCACTAATGACCACTTTTAGTCGTTTGGATATTTGATCGTCCCTCACACTCATATCGAAACCTGTTGGTAAACACCATATAGAAAATTAAAAAAAAAACAATTTTGTATTTAGTATAGGAAAGGTCTAAATTAAACTAATAGTTTACTGTCCCACAATACAAAATTTCACTAATGACCACTTTTAGTCGTTTGGATATTTTCAACAACTATTTCAATGCTAGTCATTTTTGCATTGTGGAAAACAAGACCCAATAGCTCAAATGGAAGGCACCTCTGTGAAAAAATATCAATATAACTTATTGTAGTGATTTGTCACGTAGATTACCTATTAAGCAAGTGATCACAGGCTTACTAGAGCATTTTATGGTACTAAATTAACAGCAAGTAATGGTTTTTAGAACTTCGGTAGCCGAATTAAGTAATACCCTGAATTTTATGTTCCACAAACAATTCACAATTGGTTTATAGACCTTTCTTGAACAGAAATTCGTAGGCGATACAATGAATCATAAATCTAGACTTACTCGTCCAAAGGATATTGAATATGGCAAATACCTTCATTCTAATTAAAGCGGTTAAATCATCAACTTTAGTTTTGGACACTGGCAATTATAAACAGAAAATCTTCTGGTATTGATCCCATTTAAACCAGGATGTTCAAGAATTTTTCAAAAATGAGATTTATGTATATCAAATATCCAACTGTTTCTTAATATCTATCAAGCATTTTGCAAAGTGTATCACAAGGGCTATATAGCCAAATAGCATTTATCACAGAAATACTATTATGATGAAATGCGGTTTCTACAACATAATTCTGATAAAAGACGTCGTACCATAAGTGAACTTCTATTTTTTCAACTTTATCATTGTACCACAAGTAAACTTCTATCTTTGCAACTTTATCATTGTACCACAAGTAAACTTCTATCCTTTCAACTTAATCATTGGCACTGTATTTATCATAAATATTTGTCATGGTTAATTGTTTCGTATCGTAAATAATCTAAATATGGTTAATAAATATAATGAAAATTGGCCTTTAATCATATATGAATCCATATATATGCACACTCAATAAAAATCAAGCTCCAGTGTATATCAGTGTAACAGTGTATACACATTTATACACTTTGTACTCTAGACTAAACTTACAATTTGTGTATGATATCCTTAAATAGATATTTTGTAATCCGATTGTAATTTATAACTCTTAAAATTAAATACTAATTATCATATTGACCTGAGAGCCTTAGAGGCAGGTTGTTCAGTGATGACCACGTAAGCATTCCGCCTCAATTGTTGTTCTGGTGTGAGTGTAGGATTTGCACCCTGAGGAGCGGCAGGGCCCCCATGAACCTCACCGCCGCCACTGTACATGTTCTGCTCAGAGAACTCGGGATCAGTGCTACGTATAACATCAACTGCAATAAAAATGAATAATTGTATTATGTTCAGGATGATCTAGTTGATATAAATTGTAAAATTTTGCTACAAAAATAAAAAATAATTATCAGAAATATAGAATCATTTTCTAAAGAAAAATACGTGACTTTATCTTTTATAATCAGTAATCATTTGTAACATTAAATCTTCAGTATTTTGCAGAGGTAACAGTATGGTGGATTTAACTTAGGTTCACACTCAAAATATTGGGTTGGCAACTAAGTAAGTGCGGAATTTTGTTAGAAAATCAAATAATGATGTTTAGAATTTCGGTAACCGAATTAAGTAATACCCTGAATTTAAAGTACCACAAACAATTCACAATTGGTTTATAGACCTTTTTTGAACAGAAATTCATAGGCGATACAATGATTCATAAATTTAGACCTACTCGTCCAAAGGATATTGAAGATGGAAAATACCTTCATTCTAATTAAAGCAGTTAAATCAGCTATTTTAGTTTTGGACATTGGCAATTATAAACAGAAAATCTTTTAGTATTGATCTCACTTGAACAAGGATGTTCAAGAATTTTTCATTGCACTAAATAACTTCATTATGTGATGTATCGTCCAAGTAGTATCATTATTTCATAACTTTCAAAAACATTATCGAAAACCATTGTAAAGATCGAAACAAAAAGTAATCAATATCAACTACAAGATTAAGACTAAATGATGGATATGGCAAAACATCTCAATCAACCTCAAATATTTGTTGCCGCCTGGTCAATAATATGTAATATCAATAATGGAATAAATCATGCACCGTTTCGATTTACCAACTTAAGCCGTTTTTTTTCAACTGCGTTGTTTAATTTCGTTAATTGATCAATGTAGATACCAGAATCGATCGATCTATTGGGTGGTGAGTGTAAAAGTAGAAATGCTTTCTTCTTCAACTTCAACTGGACAACCAGAGCGTTTTTCATCTTTGAGTAAAAAAATACCAGAACGAAATTTAGCAAATTAATTTTGATTCTGCTGTTTTTAGGGCTTCAAGCTAAAAAAGCTATTTTACCTTTTCAGAAATAAATACGCAAAATATGATAAAAAATTTTGATTTGATTCTCCATCTTTCAACGAACGCCAAACGAAAACTACACAATCCATCCCCAAACTTTTTTTTTACCTAGCACCTAAAATACAATTAATAAAAGGTAATTCACATTTGGACTCTACATCAGCAAACCTAAAAATTCAATTGAAACATCCAAGCTGAGAGTCGCACTTTCTTGGGTGCCAACCTAATAATTTTCAATATCTTTTATGCAATTAAACGCTTTAATTATATTATTTTTCTATTATTAATATGTTTAAAAATATGAATTATACGAAAAATTACATTGGGTTATATTGCGCACAATCAATCATTTACTAAGTAAGTGTGTAAACTTTTTTTTTGAAATGAATCTCTGAGTATATACGTATCAAATAACCCAATTGTTAATGATAATGAAATACTTCCACCGGTAATTTTATATAATAAAGTATGTACTCACTGACATCACTGATGTTAATATTTTCGTCGTTGTCTGCACCACTCAGGCCATCGTCGGTGCCATTTGCTGCAAATGCAATTAAACAATATTAAATATAACTCTTGAATTTTATAAAAAAAAATCTAGAGCTATAGAAATGCAAGTGCACTTTCGTATAACAATAAAAGCAATTATTATTCATTATCACATATATTACTTAGAATTTTGCAAATCAAACTTTTTATGTATACACACATAAAAAACACCAAATAACTAGGTGAATAGGCATTTTGAGATCATTATATCAAGGATCTGTAATTTACCAAATATGTGCCACTTAAGCACAAATAATAATTGCTATGGTCATAGTATAACTAATTATATCTACATACAAAAATTATAACAACATATTAAAATTATTTAGTATATAAATTTTCTATTCGAAATACATAAAATAGAATAAAGTTTCTAAAATTACATAGCAAAATTATAAAATCTAAATACATTCCTACAATAACATAACAAAAATATTAAAATTAAATACGTCACTACAAAATTAATACTGGTCAGCTATAAAACTCACATTTCATTGAAACATATGTAAATATATGTGGCTATAGCAACATACAATCCTATGTTTGAGATTGCCAATGAAATAAAATATTTATATTTATATTCATTACAATATAATAAAATATAAACATAATGCAGGAATCAAATAACATGCTATTTTAAATTTAGTATTATGTATATGAATTAAACAGCATAAGTTCCATAATGGTTCCATAAGCTGGTTGAGAAAGACACAGTAGAGTGCATTGTCATAAAAACTGCGGATAATAACGTTATTATTCAACTATATTATCTAAAAATTTATATATTAGCCTAATATTATATTTTGTTGCATTTATTTGCAATTTCATTTACGCGACTGGATCATTTTCCAATAACGATTGGTAAACGTCATTCTGGTAGAAAACGTCATACCCTGTAGATTTCTAGTCAACTTAAATTATTCCAGACTTAGATTAAATTCACCACATGATTTCAGTCAAACCACCTTGGTTTATTGTGAGTAATACCACTGGTTTAATGAAAAATATTTTGAATATAATAAAAAGGCGAAAAGGAAGAAATTTCAATACTTAATTAGAAAAAAATTAACTTTTGTTTATTTGTGTTGTAATGTTTATTTTTATTTTATCTCATTGCACTAGAACATTCATTTAATTATCATTTATATATTATGTTTATTAGTAGCCTAACTAAGTAAAAATATGATATATTTTATATATCTTTCGAACATAACACAAGAATATTTTGTTTTAAATTTTAGTTTTAAAAATGTTTAGTTCCAATGAAACCTTCGAATAAAATTCAAACGTGTGCAAAGCTAATCAATGGGTTCTGAATGGAATATTTACACTTGTTCACTTATACTCTATGATTCTTAATCATGAAAGTATAATGAAAATAGTGGTGTTTGGCATCGTGCCTTGCGGCAAATTGCTAGAACTTTTCGCACTGTAGTTCAAAATTTTAAAAGCTTCAAAATTTTTAGAAAAAAATTGAGAAAATTAATTTTTGTTAAAAATATGAAATTTTTTGAAAATTTTGAATTTTTTCAAAATCTTGGTATGGAACCCAAAAAAATGCACACAAAATGTTTACTCTATAAAATTGCATAATGTAATATGCATATGATCAATGATCCCACTAAATCGCATTGTTTAAACTATTTTTCTTGGATCATCGAAACCGCTGGACCTTCCTTTCTCAAAATTTAGTCAACTCTTCATTTAAAAAAAAAAAACAAGAAGTTTTACTGGCTATTAGATACTAAATCCAAACTAAGCACATACAATAAGCTACTTTTATATATATCTTTATTCAAACCAATTTAGTGCTATGAAATACGATTGTGTGGCAGTGCTGATAAGACTATGGAAATAATATGGAAATATGGAAATAATACAGAAATTTCAGAACAATTTTTTGAAAATTGCCTTAGGAGCACCAAAATATATCTCGAACTGGCTAATTCATCTCGACCCGAACACACCTACCATAAATGATGTAATAACAAAAACAGCACATAAATATAGAAACAAGCTCACCAGTCACCCAAATTCACTAGCAAGCTCCTTGATAACAAGGACCTATCGAAGAAGCTTGAAAAGAAAAGCGCCACTGGATTTAAGTCATCAAATCTTCTGATAAAAAATTGAAACTAGCTGTAAGTGGAATTCTGTCTTAAGGCAATTAGGGCATCGTGCCTTAAGGCAAATTGCTGGAACTTCCCGTACCAAAAATTATTATTTTTTTTTAAAAACGATTAACATTTTTGAAAAAAATTTACTTTGAAAAAATGAGATTTTTGAGAAACTATAAATTTGACAAAAAATTACTTTTTTTTGAAAAAAAAAATTTTTTTTTAAAAAATTTTTTTAAAATTTTTTTTTTTGAAAAAAATTTTTTTTTTCTTTATTTTGACATATTGTGGAAGATCTGAACTTTCTTTTCAAAGCAATCGTACTGCTTTAACTGCATAGGGACAAAATATAAAGCGCGTAAGCGCCGCGTCGCTGTCTAACGCATGAGCATTGGTACGGAACCCATAGGAATGTTAACAAAATGTATACTTATTGTTAAAATCTCTATAAAATATCTGATAATTTGATGTGCATATGTCTAATGATCATTTTTGACCGCCAAATGGCCCATTTTTTTACTTTTTCCTCTATATCTCCGAAACCGCTAGACCTACCTTCATGAAAATTTTATCGATTCTTCATCTTGTCAATACAAGTGAAATGTTTTTTGAATTATTCAAATCGGACGCTCCGTTCTCTTAAAAGCTGAGGTACCGTTTTTGGCACTTTTTGCCCCATATCTTCGGAACGGCTAGACCTGCCTTTGCCAAAAAGTAATCAGCACGTCTCCTTATCAATACGAATCGAATGTTTTTTAAATTATTCAAATCGGTTGATCCGTGTTCCCGAAATCGTCGACGAAAATTTGTATCCGCACATACATACACACACATACATACATACACACACACATACACACACACACACACATACATCCATTTTTTCTAAGGTATGCCAAAATGTTCAGAAACCTCTGAAATGTAAAGATATATAAAAATTTTCATTTTTGATTTTTTTGCGATTACTATAACTTGCCCTACGGGAAGTTAATAACTTAGTAATTATTTATAAGAAATTATTTTATAAGTAAATAGTTAAGATTTATAATATCAATGAAATATTAATATTATAATGAATTGAGAAAACAACTATTGAGTTGTTTTTTCAACATGCCCCTTTAGTATACAATGCCCCTTTACGGCCGACAATTGTAAATTCCACAAATTTATTAAATGTCCTTTACTGGACAAGTTGTAAATAAAATAGAGAATAAAAAAAAACTTTATTTCGTCAATACAAGTACAATGTTTTTTGAATCATTCAAATCGAATGCTCAGTTTTCTCAAAAACTGAATTGTCATGTTTTGCACTTTTTGCCGCGTATCTTCAAAACGGCTGGATCTGCCTTTGCCAAATAATCAGAATGTTTCCACTTTGCGCAAATTTTTAAGTGTATCAGTTGGACTGGTATAGCTAAAAGAATAAAATTCTCCTCAAAATGATCACTCTCATAGACTAAATATAAAGGCAATGCGTCTGATTGTGAGTCATATGTGATCAACTATTGCCTACGTTCTCGCGGCGTGTGTGGGTTGGATGCCGGCTACGTGGCGAAAACCAAAGATTCGAATTAATCGTGTAAACATTACAAACATTGTAAACATACGTGTTGTGCAATGGTTAACGATTTTCTATGTTTCGCAAGGATTCCAGATTCTAGATCCGGTTGGCAAACATCATTAGTGTTTCTAGGGATCTGCAACACATTTTCGCGAATAATATTTAGATTATCTGACATTGAGCGGTTGTATATTTATACAAATCGCCGTTGACTCAAGAATTAATAAATTAAAAATATACTTCACAAAGAAATTGAGCAACCAATGATTAAAAAATTTAGTCTCGTGTGATCTACAATATAACCACTGTTTAGTGATAATACATTTTGGATTTATATGTATGCATTTAATACACAAGTTCAATTATGCAATGAAAATACTATTCAACTCACTAAACTTGATGCAAATGACATAGTGTACTGAAGGTGTAGACAAATTTTATAAAACTTTATAAAAATTTGTGTTGATAGCCATCCTTCAGGAAACTTCTTACAGACAGGAAACTGTCAGATAATCGTGCGTCGATCATAAAGATTTCCTATTAAAAATTTAATAGCAAAGTTGGGACTGAAATTCTTAGAATTATAAATTTCATATATCTATGTCAAAAATTGCCAAAGAGAAATATTTCAATTATAATTATCCAATTCATGTTTAATATCAATATGGCACACATCTGATTCAGAACTATTCACCCACATTGATAAAAAAACGTTATCCATGCAAATGGAATAAGTTCTAGATTGATGAACAGAAACCTGGACAACGAAACAGTACCTATTAAGGAACGAAACCTAAGAAAAATTTTTAGTTTGCCCGTTGGCATTAAATGATAATAATCTAATTTTTTTCCAAAATTTTTGCCTGAAAAATTGTAAATCTTCAAATCAAAAGTGATTATAATTTATGAAGAAAGGGATACTTATAATTTTTTATTTCCCATGATGTTAATTTTAGAAATCCTTAAAACTGCAAAAAATATTTGTGTCTTTTGAAAATTATCATTTTTTTACACTTTTTATTTTTTTGCAGATTTAAAATTTTAAATATTCGCTAAAGCTTTATTTATATAACAATATAACTGGTTTTTAACTTTCCGTAGAGTAAGTTATTGTAATTGTCCAAAAATCAAAATTGCAAATTTTTGCATATCTTCAGGTTTCGAAGGTTTTTAAACATTTTGGCATACCTTTTAAAAATGGTGTGTGTGTATGTATGGATATAATTTTTCGCCCACGAAAAACATTCGATTCCTACCAATGGGGAGACGTGCTGATCAGGTTTTTGCAAAGACAGGTTGGAGATACGGGGAAAA